TGACTTCGCTGTCTTCAGTTACTGTAAAATTGGCTTCAATTGATCTTTAATTGTCAGAGTATTCAGTAAGTTATTGTTTTAACCACTCAAAATACACAAGCCAAATCGTGAGACGAATTGGCTTGTGTGAAAAACAACTTGTCTATTATTGCTAAAGGAAATACTTTGTAGAAAGAAGTTGTATTTGTGCTGTCGTAGAAACATAAATAATTGAAGCTTTGTGAATTAATTCTTGGTTATTTCAAACAATGAAAATAAGCTGTTCAATTTTCTTCATAACATTAAAGGGTGTTAATCTTTCCTTTTCAAAAAACGTTTAATTTCATTTTTATAAGCTAAGAATATTATTCTTTGACATTTTTTATAAATTATTTATAGTTTTTGTTATTTTTTAAATAGAACCGGGAAAACTCTGTATAGTAAAAAAGATAATAAAACAATAGGTCAAGCCCCTCAGTTTCGTCAAGCCCCTCACTCCCCCTACTGTATACTATAAGTTTATTTATTTCTATAATTAGTTAAATATATAAATAAATAAACTATTTATATTATATAAACTAATAGAATTAAAAAACTATGATTTATTAATAGAATTCTATTATAAAAATAGAAATCATTTGATTATATATTGATTAACAGTTTGTACGGTGTGTATTTAACTTATAATGGTGTGTACCTGGTGATGGAATTTTGTGATTATAGTTTTGATGATTTTATACACAATCCCAAATTCCAAAATGTTAAGAGTATTGTTTTCTTTTTCAGACAGATTCTTACGGGGTTAATATATCTCCACGAGCATAGAATAGTACATCGGGATTTTAAGCCTGGTAATATTTTAGTAACAAAAGATTATGTTGTCAAGATTGGAGACTTTGGGATGTCAAGGTATCTTGCTGATGCGAGGTATCGAGGTTACACTGCCGAATGTATATGTACTTACTACAAACCGCCAGAGTTTTACAGGATAACTCCACGAAAAGCACTCAATGCGATATATATACCAAATTATTGTGAAAAGGTTGACATTTGGGCTGTCGGGTTAATGTTGAGCGAAATGATGGGCAGTAAAATAACTCCCAAGCAGATTTTGACACAACGAAGGACAACACCAGAATTTTTTCCGTTGTTAACACTTGAGGAAGATTTGGAAATGGCATCCAGGATTATTATATTCGAACCAAAGTACCGGTCCTCAGCAAAAGCCATTTTGAATTCGCGTTTCTTCCAACAACAGATTTTTTAATTTTGTTTATAAAATATCATTAAATAGAAATACAGTATATCGGTAATATGTAACTTTAATTTTCCACTGTTTTATCAATTAGAATGTGGTCTTTATCTTTATTTTAAATTAAAATTTTGCTTTGCATAAAGATTATTATAATATGTGTTTAAATTGAAATTCAGTTTATATACAAATAAACAGAAAATAAAAAAACATGTTTTGTGTCGATTTTCGACATTTATAATAATTAATTAACTACTTTGTAATAATAAAAAAAATTATAAACAAAACAAGAAAACAACTTTTCGTATCGTTTTTTTAAACAAGTTACAAATGAATTCACTCATAATTGATTTGTTGAAATGAACCAATACATGTTTAAGTGGTTCTTTATATTGTTCGCAATTACTTCTTCGAAATACATCAGAATAAGTTTGACTGGTAATATTACAACTCTCAAATACGCAAGTTCGTTGGCACTCCCAGGAGATATCATTGAGTTTGAAAGTGGAAACTATCCACCCCAACATGTTGCAAAACGCACGTATGGAGCTTTTGATAACCCTATTAAAATCCGACCAGCACTGAACGCAAAAGTAGTGTTTGAAACAGCAACAAGTCAGACTTATGCATTCAATATTCCCGACTCCTCAAATATTGATGTCGAAGGTCCGTTCATTGCACGAAGTGCTACACAACAAACTGTTGCAGCAGTTAATTGCACAAACATTACAATGTCTGGTTTTAGTATATACAACTCGACAAGATGGGCGATGTTTGCCTCTGGAACAAACATCACTATACGCAACAACTATGCTGACGGCTGTGTATTAGAAAATGAGCACTGCAAAAGTGAGAAATTTGTGCAATGTTTTGGAACGGGTGTTGTTACATACGATGGTCCAATCCTGTCTAAATTAATTACTTTTGAGAATAACGAAATTACACATGCCTGGGGAGAAGGCATCGACTTCATATTTTGCACAGAATGTGTTGCTCGTAATAATTACATCCACGACGTATTCCCTTCAATGATCACAGTCGACAATGCTAAAAACCTTCTCATTGAAAACAACATCCTCAGATTCTCGAATGGACCACTTTGCCCAGAACAAAACCAGTATCATGCAATAGCAATTGGAGATGAAGATTGGCCGCCTGTCTATGTCTCCACAACAAACATCACTGTAAGAAATAATTTCATTTGGGGAGCTAGATTTGGTGTATCTTATTGGGGATGGAGCCCAGTGGCATATTACAGCGAAATAACTGTTGCCCAGAACACGTTCTTCAACATTTCTGGACTTGCACTTGCGTTCCAAGCAAAGTGCGTTGTGGAAGGAGCTGCGAAGAACAACCAATTTAAGAACAATTTCATATACTCAAATTACAATTTGTACGCCGCACTTGTGCACCAAAACGAGTTGAATAGCTGGAACATTTCGGATAATGTCTATTATGAAGGGTGTAAGAATTTTTTGAAAGACTCGTGGAATGGCACCGATGGAAATGCACATTCAATACACTTGACTCAAAACGAGACTTCAGTCCTCAAATTGTGGAATGGTGGAAAGTATGGAAATTGTACCAACGAAAGTTATTTCAAATGGGATGTCCCAACGTACTGTTTTGTGCCTCATAATAAGTCGTTACTTTATCACAGTGGTGTGTATGTTACATACTATGACCTTGATGCAAAGATGAACAAAGACTTTTATGGATGTGTGAGAAGTAATATAAAGCCAAGTATAGGGGTAGCAGAAGGTCAATTTGATTGTGTTTTAGTTGAAGGATCTTATACATGTTATGTATACGTGTTGTTGTCTGCTATTTTCCTTATTATTTAATTGTTTCCTTAGAGATTTAATTATAAATATTAAATTATTTAGTTTTAAATAGCGACATATATTTTTATATACAAATACAATTGTTAATAAACGACCTTCAAATACAACCAAAATCACTTTGTCGAGGAAAATGGCGAAAACCCTTCCATTGGGAATTCAACGATTTTTTGTTTTGTGTCAACACTTTTATCTTTTTTAATATCGTTTTCTATGTTTTTGTCAATATAGTTCGCTTTAAATTTATTTGATATTTCTCTGATCCTTCTGAACTTCATCGTCAATATTTCCCCGTGTCCCAAATCACTCTTACATTCTATATACTTCTGTCCTTCTTTAAATTGTGGCCAGAAATACGTCTTTTCTACCCATAGCCTTTCTTCAACTCCTTTTCGAATTCTGAATTTGACACGTAGAACAAAAACACTTCCAGTGGTCACATCCATTGTAAATGATTGATACCATCCCTTTGGGACATAAAGTGATTTGTTCAATCTCTTCACCTCGAGCCATGATGTGCAATATTTCTTTCCATTATATTCAATTTCAATTGAAGGGTTGCTAAAATCGCCTTCTAGAAATTTGTTGAACTTTCTGATCTTACTCACTTCAATTTGACATGGGAAGTGGTCTGTTCCACTCACAAATTTGGGCGATTCTTTTGTGTTAAACGTGTTAATTAGTAGTGGGTTGATGTGGTAAAATACACTTCTTATACAGTCAACTGTGACATAGACACTACTCCCATTCCTTCCACTCATCTCAACATCGACCGTTTCATTCTCAAGAAAGTCCACCACTTGATACGTCAGACTGTCAAGAGTGTGCCCACTTCCTTTCGCTGTGTTGCATGAAAAGTATCTCAAAGAAAATTCAATCTTCTCACCAACGACAGCTTCAATGTAAAATTCCTTTGGAAGGTAATACAAATCGTCTGTGTAAGTCGTGTTAGCCATTTGTGTGACCGTTGTCGCAACTGTCATTATATTCGACTTCGCAAACAACTTAATTTCATTGTTTTTTGCGAGAGAAGAACCACTTCCGAATACAGTGTGGAATGCTCGAGAAATGCCTTTGATGTAATATACAGTCACTTTAAGCAATGTTGGCTGGAGCGGATTAACAAGAGGAGAATAAAAATTTGGTAACCCACTCGTACACTTGAGTGAACATGTAAAGAGGCCTCTTGTGTTGATTGGAAGTAAAAAGAAAGTTTCCTCATTTGTAATGAGTGGCGGAATTACTAAAGAAGTATTTCCTAAATTGCTATTTTGTGAAAAGAAATTAAAACTTAAAAAATTAAAAGTGAGTGTATCACCCTCACAAAGTGAAGTATTAAATGAAACATCCCAATCACAATCGACACCATTTGATTTCTTTGTCTCGTATTTTTTGTCACCAATTGTAAACATTACATATGGATTTGTCGCCGAATCGTCACTACATTTTAAGTCACGGACATTTATAACACGGAGAATGACGTTGTTTACGTTTTCCATAAAGCTGTTTTATTAAAGTTTCATTTTATAGTTTAAAAAAATACAATGCCAACTTAAATATTATATAAGTTTTTAAATTTAAGCACATTTAAATTCAAGTCGTTTTAATTATATATATGTAATTATGTATATGTAATATATATAATTAATTAATTAAATTATATATATCATTAAAATTTGATATATAAAATAAACACTTTAAATTACAGAACAATATATATTTATATATATTTAAATTAACATTAAATTATTTTATTCAAAACAATTTAAATATTTTTTCAAATGGAATTTTTTAACAAAAACTTGAAAATTTAAATAAAATGTTTTTATTAGCGACGTATTTAACAAGTATTATATATTTAATCATCAGTTTGATTGGTTTTGTTTGTTTATGTTGATGCCTTTTTATTTCTTTATAACTCCAAAACTCATTTTAAATTACAGATTAAGACATAGGCAATGTTCTTTGTTGAACTGTATCTTGTTAAAGCAATAAGATGCTCCCTTAATGAAGGAGACAAACTTCGTCGCTCGAGAATAATGATGTTATTAGCATCATTTGCATTTCTTGTGATACCAATTGTTCTTTTATCATTTTCATACAACAATACTTATGGTTCTTTAACACAAATTTATATGTTATTATACTCTCTCGTCACTTTGCTATTTACAATTGTTGGAACAGTCTTGTTTTATATCCCAACAAGTGATAAATATCCAAAGTACTTTGATGGGCTTCAATACGACGATTTCGCACTTGGACTCTTCTTGTTATATTGCTTGTCTTCTGTTGTTGGAATCATCTTTTCTTTGATCTTTTTCGTGGGGGCAATTACGAATTTTTAAATCAAAACTAT